AATAACCCGTTATAGCACATCCTCCTTTCCTCACACAGCCAAAATGTGGAATGCTCTGTCTTCTACTGTGTTCCATACTCATACAATCTGTCTCACTTTAAAAAGCTGGTTTTCCGGCATCTTCGTGGTGTAGATTAATATAATCTTTTTCTTTTCTATTTTAATTTCTTTTTACAGTACTCTTATTTTTTCGCCCCCTAGGGCGTTGTGGGTCGATGACCTGTGCCCAGGTGTGCTATTTCCCGAAAGTTTAGGAAGATTTTCGTGTATATATTGATGCATTTCTTATGTAAGAATATTCTTGAATGTATGGTATCATTTTTGTTATGATTTACTTCTTATCGTAAGCCTCGATCAGAGTAGAACGTTCGAGAAACTCCCAGGGGTCTCTGGGTTGTGCTAGGGTGTTCCGGGATCCTCTGATGGTGAGGTATATAAGCGACAGCGTGCGGTTAACGCAAGGCCGAAATAGCCGAAAGGCGAAGTGGCCTGTATTCTTCAAACAAGCCAATCTGACGCAGCCAGTCGATCGTTTCCACTGTGTCAAAACCAAGCCTAGTTGGACAACTGAACATTAATTGTTGTGCAAGTATTGTGGAATTGTTGTGATCAATATAAAGTGAAAAGATTAAGGAATTGTACACTGGTAGTGTGCTGACGATATTCGAAGTGAGAGGGCGTGAAAACATTACCCTGTGAACAGTATGTGAGGGAATTACTACACCACGTGAGGTCCCTCATAACACCATCTGTGAGGGAATTACTACACCACGTCAGGCCCCTCATAACACCATCTGTGAGGGAATTACTACACCACGTGATGCCCCTCATAACACCATCTGTGAGGGAATTACAACACCACGTGAGGCCCCTCATAACACCATCTGTGAGGTAATTACTACACCACGTGAGGTCCCTCATAACACCATCTGTGAGGGAATTACTACACCACGTGAGGCCCCTCATAACACCATCTGCGAGGGAATTACTACACCACGCCAGGTCCCTCATAACACCATCTGAGGGAACTACTACACCACGTGAGTTCCTCCTAACACCATCTGGGAGGGAGATACTACACTACGAGTTTGCTGTTCAACACCTACATTAATCTGTATGTTCCTTTACCTTTCTCTAATGAAGGCTTTTGTTAAACCACCGATGTATGTAATAAGTCATTTATGTCCAATGTATATTTTCAGCCTTCGGGCTGCAGAATTTTTTCAATAAACCGTTAATTATTATTATTATTTATTATTAGTATTGTGAAGAATTAGTGACTATTAAAGGGGGACTACAGTGCACAAGTGTGTTTCTGTGACCTAGTGGAAATCTACCTGCCTGTTGTTTGTCTGTACACTGATACCGATCGTCGGGAAATTACCGGAGACTGGCGGGACAGCCAGTGGTAATTCAAGGACACTTGTGAGATATCTACTGCTTCTGTACAGTATATACGACCCTAGCCGCTGGTAACCAGTAGTGCAAGCTGGGTATGCGGTGAAAAGCAGTGTCTTAACGGTATATATATATATATATATATATATATATATATATATATATATATATATATATATATATATATATATATATATATATATATATATATAAATAAGGGACCCACTAAATAACTATCCTACATCTAGATCCAAGGTTTTCAAAGCATTTTTAACCTTGGGCCACTGACAAATAAATTTATGTAACATATCAGTTTTGAACTGACCATCACTAAGGTTTATTGATTTTAATTCCTTAATCAAACTAGCTTCAACCAGAAGTCTTTCTGTGACACAAGATGATCTGAATACTTCTAAGCTTTTTTCCCAAGCGATGGGATGATTATTATTCCTAACATGAACGAACAGGGCACTGCTTTCAGATGCTGTTCTGATATTGTACTTATGTTGTCTGATTCTGAGCTGCGATGTTTTTCCTGTCTGTCCTACATAATTACCATTACATTTGCTACATGGAATACAATAATCACTTCCATTTACATTTAAACTTGGGCTATTTTTTATTAACATATTGGTAATGGTTGAGTCATACTTGAAAACAACATTAATATTTAGTAGTTTGAGGGACCGAACTAACTTGACAAATTCATTACGATAGGGCAGTCAAAATATTCTTAAGTGTAGGAACTTGTCTGGTTTGAGAGGAATGAAAGGATTTTTTAGCGCTTTTAAAACAACGATCAACAAACACAGAAGGGTACCCAAGTTTTTGTGCAATGGAACGAATGTGTTTCAATTCATCGTCAATAAATTCAGCGTCACAAATACGCAGACATCTTAGGAACATAGCAGAAAAAACTGACATTTTGGTAGACTCCAGGTGATTCGATAAAAAGTGAATGAAACTGTCTACCTGTGTGGGCTTTCTGTATACCTTAAATTTGTAGTTTTGGCCATTTCTCATGATAAGCATATCAAGGAATGGAAGGGATCCATTTATTTCTCTTTCAATTTTGAATGTGATACTTGGGACAATATCATTAAGCTTGTCTAAAAATTTCAATGGGTCACTGTTTCTAGGCCAAAGACAAAGAACATCATCTACATATCTATACCATGGAGGAATAAAGTCCACTATATTGGGTAGTAATCTAGACTAAAAAAACTCCATATAAATACAGGCTATAGGAGCAGAAAGACAATTACCCATGCTCATGCCAAATATTTGCTTGTAGAACTTCCCATTAGCTCTAAACACATTGTCAGTTACGCATAACTCTATCAATTTGAGGAAAGTATCATGTTCAATAGTTAAATCTAACAGTTGTAATTTATCTTTAAGAAATGAAAGTAAGTCTTTCACAGGTACTCTAGTGAACAGCGAATTTACATCAAAACTTATTAATTCGTAAGGTTCATTGTGTTTCTTGAGTCTATCAATTAAATCACTGTTATTGTGTATATGTGAATTAGATATTTGGCCTGTAAGAGGGAATAGCATCTTTACCAGCCACTTGGATAATTTGTAAGTAACAGAACCCACAGAACTCACGATAGGACGTAATGGATTGTTAAGCTTGTTTGTTTTGATCAATCCATACATATAAGATAAAGTGGGATTGATTTGAGAGAGCTGTTTGATGAGATCGGGGTTCTTTTTCAATAACATCTTCATTTTGGAATTAGATAACTTATTAATATTTTCCAGGGGATCTTTCGTATATATATATATATATATATATATATATATATATATATATATATATATATATATATATATATATATATATATATATATATATATATATATATATATATATATATATAATGGTAATTAATTTTCATGTGGCAGCTGTAACAAAATCATAAATTATTTAGCCTATCATCTTTTATAGTACAGTACTAAATAGCCTAATTCTGAAGGACACCGAATGATGCCCAGTATTTGCCAGCAGTGCGTAACAGAAACGTGACCGACCGCCCAAGCGGCTAACGAGCCAATCAGTGGCGAAGATGGATCTTAGAAGTACAATACAGTACTGTAGAGTACGGTAGGCCCAAAGACAATAAATTTTTCCAAATTTTCTTTTATCCTCTTCGCCACTAATCAATTAAGCTTGGGCGATCGGTCACGTCTGTGTTACACACTGTTGGCAAGTACTGGGTATGCACTGATTCATGACTGTATCTGTACCTGCCCCAGAGTTGGACAAGTCTGGTCTTGGAAGAGCTTACACTCGGTGCCGTCACAACACTCTGGCAGATTGTTCCAAGAGTTCACAATTCCCACTCCGAAATAGTTTGTCCGCACAGTTTTCTGGACTTGTCGCTTCTTAATCCTTGAGATTTGACCCCTTTTGAACCCTTTTTTGTTGTTTACAGACATCATAATTCTTACCTGGATCAGAAGTTTATAATAAAATTATTTTGAACTGTCATAAATTATTGTAATTATGATTGTTTAATGATAACCCAATATTGTATATTCTAGAAATATACTGAATTTCTCGATCATACATTTTTGTTTTGTTTTATAAACATTCAGCTTCTTAACCCAAGTTCTATGATGTGCATTTCCAGTGGAGGTTAACATCAACAGTACAAACACTGGCCACGAGCGGAAAACACTACCCTGTTATTAGGGTGTAGATACAGATCTCTCAAGTAAGACCAGGACACACTCCACCTCGTCAAACAAAACAAAAACAAAAAGAGCTCAGCCAGCTGGGAGGTGTGTGACACAACTCTGCAGGAACGTAACCATCTGCCAGACTGCACCTACACCATGGTTACTGTGGCAGGACTGGACGGGGTGCTAGGTTACCTTGGCATGCCACACCCCTGTGTCAAGCTCCACCTCCTCCTTACGCTTGGTATTTCAAACTTTTCTCATTTATGACAACTATCATAATGTGTATATTCAAAACTACAATCAAGTACATATAACTGTTGGGGGTGGTGGTATGGTCAAATGTACATGTTGGTGATGGTGTGGTCAGATGTACCCCTTGGTGGTGGTGTGGTCAAATATATACGTTGGTAGTGGTATGGTCAAATGTACCTCTTGGTGGTGGTGTGGTCAGATGTACTTCTTGGTAATGGTAGTGTGGACAGATGTACTTCTTGGTAGTGGTGGTGGTGTGGACAGAAGTACTTCTTGGTGGTGATGTGGACAGATGTAATTCTTGGTAGTGGTTGTGTGGACAGATGTACTTCTTGGTAATGGTAGTGTGGACAGATGTACTTCTTGGTAGTGGTGGTGGTGTGGACAGATGTACTTCTTGGTGGTGGTGTGGACAGATGTACTTCTTGGTAGTGGTTGTGTGGACAGATGTACTTCTTGGTAGTGGTTGTGTGGACAGATGTACTTCTTGGTGGTAGTGGTGTGGACAGACGTACTTCTTGGTAGTGGTGGTGGTGTGGACAGATGTGCTTCTTGGTGGTGATGTGGACAGATGTACTTCTTGGTGGTGGTGATGTGGACTGATGTACTTCTAGGTGGTGGTGGTGCAGACAGATGTACTTCTTGGTGATGGTGGTGTGGACTGATGTACTTCTAGGTGGTGGTGGTGTGGACAGATGTACTTCTTGATGGTGGTTATGTGGACATATGTACTTCTTGGTGGTGGTGGTGGTGTGGTCAGATGTACTTCTTGGTGGTTGTGATGGTGGTGTGGTCAGATGTACTTCTTGATGGTGGTTATGTGGACAGATGTACTTCTTAGTGGTGGTGGTGTGGTCAGATGTACTTCTTGGTGGTTGTGGTGGTGGTGTTGACAGATGTACTTCTTTGGTGGTGGTGGTGGTGGTGAATCCAGGTAAAAATGTCACAGAAAAAAGTCACCTACCCCAACCCAATATAACCTAACCTAACCTAACCTAACCTAACCTTACCTTACCTTACCTAACCTTACCTTACCTAACTTAACTTAACCTAACCTAACCTAACCTACATGCATCATATATAAATTGTGTTGTCAATATGTAAAAGTCATGTATTGTCAGTTAATAACTGTTTTAAAATATTTTTAGTTTTATTACCTTAAATGTGACTTTTTTTCCTGTAACTTTTTTCCTAGCCAAAATTGTGACTTTTTTTCTGTGACTTTTTTTCCTGTGACTTTATTACCGTTCACCGTGGTGGTGTGGTCAGATGTAATTCTTGGTGGTGGTGTGTTCTGATATACCTCTTAATGGTTGTGTGGTCAGTGTACCTCTTAGTGGTGGTGTGGTTAGTGTACCTCTTGGTGGTGGTGTGGTGGTGCCGCACTAGCGTAGCTAGGGGGGGGGGCGGCACTTTTGGGTCTGCTCATCACCCATATCTGCAGCTACTGGAGACGTTAATCCATCCCTTTGTATCGGCGGCAAGTTAATCCTTGTCGTGTCTGACCTAACACCTGACCCACATCATCACGGCCACGTCATGAGCTACACCCTTGCTATGCGCCCCCCGCCACACACACAACCTGTAACCTGTTGAGGATTCAGGAAACAACTTCAAACAATTGCTGTTAGTGTTGCTACCTGTGAGAGGAGTTTTTCGAGACTAAAACTGATCAAGAATTACTTAAGATCTACTATGAGCACCTTGCGGTTGAGAAATCTTGCCATACTGTCTATAGAGCGACAATTGACAGATGAAATAGTTTTTGACAATGTCATTGAAGAATTTGCCAGCAAAAAAACAAGAAAAGTTACTTTGTAGAAAGTTGTAGTTTTCATTTCAGAAATAAAGATGGTCCTAATTTTTTACACTTTTTACTTTTTTTCCCTATCCTATATGTCGTTTTTGCTTTTTGTTTAACTGTTACTTATAAAGTTTAAGTATGTTTGGTGTGTATTTAAAGCATACTATATTTGAGTATGTGAAAGTACATTAATATTATAATGGTACACCAACTATTTAATATATAAATATATATTTAATATATAAATATATATTTAATATATATATATATATATATATATATATATATATATATAAGGTAGTCACTGTGCAATATGTATTTTTTGTGGAGGCACGGGGGGGGGGGGGCGGCAAACTCAAGGGCCGCGGGCGGCACACACTCTAGCTACGCCACTGGGTGGTGGCAGTATACAGTCAGATTTACAGTCAAAGAAAAATTCGCTTAACACTTTCCGTTCCTTATGTTCTGAAACCCATGACGAATAATTTTGGTAAAGCTCTCCGTTTAGTCCCGACCCTCGAAGCTACTCTGTCACTTATTTTACCCATATTCTTCATCATGGGTTTCAGAACATAATGCTAGGTGGGGTGTAACACCACTTTTTTTCTTTAACCGTACTTCTTGGTGATGGTGGTGATGGTAGTGTGGTCAGATGTACCTAGATTTTTATACTTCAATTATATTTAATACAGTTATAGACCTTCGTTTTTAACTAACTTCAGGTGGGATTTGATCTTCAGATGAGTCATTGGTAAATGATGAAGATACTCTACTGAAATAAAGTCAATTACATATAATTAATACAACCATTGATATTACAAAATATATATTCTAGTACTGTATGTTTTAATTTCTTTACCTAATACAGGGTTGTTCGTTCTGGGTTTGGGATCAGTTGAGATATCTACAATGCTCCCCATCCCTCTGTACAGCTGCTGGGGTGGCCTGACACCAAATGATTTTAATAGAATGTAAGTACTGTAGTACACCATGATGATAAGTATAATACATGATGTTGTAGGGGTATCGAGATATTAAAGTTGTCTAGCACTCAGGATGGAAGGAAACTCTAATGTGGTTTTCTTGTAAAATATATAAGTTATATGATAGACAGTCTGGTGCTGGAGATGCCGTGTGTGGGGAGCAGCTCACTAGAAGACGTTCGGGAGTATCGTGTTGAAGGAGGTAGATGTGCAGGAGCTTCGTTAGAGAAGGTGTTGCCTGTTGCTGGCCTCCTGGTTGAATGAAATGTTAACAGCGTGGAGCTTGCTGGAGGAGATGTTGCTTGTTCAGGAAGAATGGTCAGAATGAATCTCAATGGAGAGACAGAGCTTATATACACCCGGCAGCAGCCGCCAGTCCTCTATGAGTCATGTTGGGAAAACCCGAGAAGTAGCCGGTGACTAGTTTCGTTGCTAAGATACGGTAACATCTGGGGACAGCTCTCGCTTGGTTGCTAGGGGAGGCGGCACATTGGAATGCGGATACGCTTGGTGGTGGGCTGCTACGCAGTTGTAGTGGAGAATTCCACTACAATACTCCCCCTCCCCTCCAGGCGCGGCGGGAGGCTGGATGTTGTCCGGGTTGTGTCCCACACATAACACATACCGGGCAGGTGTATGTACGACTCGACCGCTACGTGTAACAACTCCGTCCAGTGACACAAAACCTGTGGGAGAATTAGGAGGAGAAAGAGGGTTTGGGATTAGAGGAGGTTGTACAAGCAATGGTTGTTGTGCTCCTGCTGCTGCAGGGGCTGCGTTAGGAGGAGGGTCCATGGCAGGAGCAGGTTCAGGTTCTATGACAGGAGGAGGGTCTATGACAGGAGCAGGTTCTATGATAGGAGGGAGGTTTATTACAGGTTCAGGTTCTATGACAGAAGCAGGTTGTACATGAGGGTGAAAAGAGGGTGCCCAGAAATGTCGTGGGTGTGGTGTTGCTGCCGGTGGTAACTGCGGGTGGACTGGTGCAGGCGTAGTTTGTTGATGGTGCTGCTGGGCTGGGGGCCCGACGGGTAAGGCGGCCGGTTTGACTCTGTCTATGCTGACGGTGTCATGTCTGCCATTCCGGATAATTGTCAGGAACTTTGCAGAACGGGTAACCACCTGGAAGGGTCCATCGTAGGGGCGTTGTAATGGGTTGCGGTGAGCATCATGCCTGACGAAAACATACTCGGCTGTGAGTAGTGCAGGAGGGATGTGTTGAGGGCGCCGAGTAGGCTGGCGTGGAGCAGTAGCTCTGAATGCAGAAACTGCTTGTCGTAGCTTTTGGAGTAAGTCGTGACGAACGGCTGGAGTGGTTTGGTTGGGATCAGGAGGGAGTGAGAAATCCCCGGGTAGCCGAAGGGGCTCGCCTAGTGTCAGATCTGCTGGGCTACAATCCATATCCTCCTTGTGTGACGCACGGATGCCGAGGAACACTAAGGGAAGCGCATCAGTCCAGCTGTAAGGGTCGTGCTGTGCCTTGAGTGCGTCCTTCAGCTGCCGGTGAAAACGTTCTACCATGCCGTTGGCTTGAGGGTGGTATGCTGTAGTGCGTTGTCTAGACGTGCCGAGGAACTGTAGGAGGTGCTGCCACAGTTGTGACTCAAACTGTACTCCTCGGTCAGTGATTACGGTTGCGGGGGGGGCCAAAACGGGAAACCCAACCAGACATGAAGGCGCGGACAGTAGTCTCTGCTGTAGCGTTGGGCATGGGAATTGCTTCTGTCCACCTGGTGAAACGGCCAGGCACTGGGCAGCCCATTTAGCATTGTGACTTGGATGCTGGCCAGACGACACGTTGCGTGAGGAGGGCGCGCTGGGAGTGCCCGCATACCCGGGTGGCTGAGACCATGGATGCGGTCGAAAACAGCGCGGCGGTGGACGTGAGGCACGAACGGTCTAGGCTGTCCACAGGATACGTCGCACCACAATTTTATCTTTGTGCCAGGAACAGGGAGTTCTTGGAGTATGAGGCCTCAGGGGGATGTCTTGTATGCTGCCAGGTCTTCGTCTTTCTCTTGAGCCGCGGCTAGCTGCCCATAATCAATGGGTGGAGATGAGGGAAGAATGGTGGATATACAACGAGAGAGGGCGTCGGCGATCTCGTTGTGGCTGCCTTTAATGTGTTGGACGTCGCTGGAGAACTCCGAGATGTAAGCCAAGTGGCGCAGGACACGAGGTGTATGTGACTGGGAAACTGAAGCGAAGGCGTGGACGAGGGGCTTGTGATCAGTGAAGATGGTGAACTGACGGGCCTCGAGGAAGTGCTGGAAATGTCTGACAGCCAAGTATATGGCCAGGAGTTCTCGATCAAAAGCGCTGTACTTGAGGTGTGGTGGTTGAAGCCGTTGTGAGAAGAAAGCAACGGGCATGAAAGTTTCGTTGATCTCCTACTGTAAGACGGCGCCCACTGCAGTAGAAGAAGCGTCTGTTGTGAGAGTGGTCCGGGCGTTAGGTGCCGGGTGGGCCAGGAGGGTGAGGCGTGTGATGTGCTGTTTGATAGTGGTGAATGCCGTAGTAGCCTCTTGAGTCCACATGAGAGACTTGTGAGACTTCTTTGGGCGTCCCTTGAGAAGGTCGTGTAGGGGGGCTAGGACGGTGGCAGCTTTGTCAATGAAGCGGTGATAGTAGTTGACTAAACCCAGGAACTCCCGGAGTTTCTTCGCCGTTTCAGGTTTGGGGAACTCCCTAATCGCGGTTATTTTCTGTGGTAGGGGTTGTATGCCACTGGGCGAGACTGTGACCGAGGAAATCGATGGCCGAGGTTCCAAAGACGCACTTAGCAGGATGAACTTTCATGTTGTTGTTCTGCAGGCGTTGGAGAAGGAGTTGTAGGTGGTGGTGGTGCTCGGCAGGCGTCGAAGATGCGACGAGGATGTCGTCAATGTAGGCGGTGACAAAATCGAGGTCGCGAAGCATATGGTCCATGAACCTCTGGAAAGTCTGTGCTGCATTGCGTAAGCCAAAACTCATGAAAGTGTACTCGAAGAGTCCGAACGGAGTGGTGATGGCTGTCTTCTGGGTATCTGCCGGCGCTACTGGGATCTGGTGGAAGGCACGCTCCAAGTCGATCTTCGAGAAGATAGTCTTGCCATGAAGTTTGTGGTGAAAGTCCTGGACATGTGGAATAGGGTACCTGTCAGGTTTGGTGACGAGATTCAGGGCTCTGTAGTCGCCACACACCCTCCACTCGCCGGGTGTTCGCTTAGGAACCATGTGAAGAGGCGATGCCCAGGGACTCCTTGAAGGGCGAATGATGCCGTCTTGCAGTAGTTTGTTGAATTCTGCTTTGGCTGTGTACAGGAGCTCAGGGCGCAGGCGGCGAGGGCGTGAAAAGACTGGTGGTCCTTTGGTTTCGATGTGGTGGAAAATTCCCGACGTAGGTGGTGGGGGTAGGGAGACTCGGGGTGAGAAAAGCTCCTTGAATTCGTCGAGCAGGGAGGAGAACTCGTTGGAAGGCGCAAGACAGGTGATAGCGTCCGTGTGTCTGGCACGAGAACCCTGGATCTTGCGTGTTGTAGGCTCATGAATGAGGCATAGATGACTTGGTTTGACGCCGAGCTTGTGGAAGGTGAGGAATTCGAAACCAAGGATGGGTTGAGACACGTCTGCTATCACGAATAACCAACGCAGAGCCTTGGGCAGACCGAGGTCTAAGGCGAGGGTGCGTACGCCGTAGGAGGCGATGGAGGTACCGTTGGCAGCGAACAGGTCATACGAGGGTTGCTTTGACTTGTCTTGTAGTGAGGGAGGGATGAGGCTGACAGATGAACCGGTGTCGATGAGGAACGTCTTGCCGGAGGTGCGGTCGGTGACGCGCAGTAATGAGACGCCTGGAGGGACGGAGGCCGAGGCGTCTACCAGCCTCCGGTGTTGCCGTTTCCCGAATAGGTGCAATAGGGCTCACAGTTTCGAGCATAGCGGCCGAAAGTCTGGTGATACCAGCAGAGGGTAAATTTGTTGTGCTGGGGGTTGGCTGCTGTGTGTCGGAACTTGTAGGGCGTAGTGTGTGAGTCAGGAACCGGCGCAGCAGCGGGTATGGAGGAGCAGAACTGCTCAATGGTGTACATCCTGCGGTTCAAAATTTGCAACAGGCCCTTGATGTCTTGTGAGGTATTGCTCGGCTGAGGGGTGTTTACCCGGCTTACAAGTTCGATGGTAGGTACTGGTGTGACCGTGGCGGCAAGGGGTGCAGCAGCGCATTCGTTAAAAATTCTATCTGCCGCGGTTGCATATAGTTCCGGTGTCGTAGAGTAATCTACTGCGGACAGGATGTTGCGTACTTCTGTGGGTAGCTTTTGTGCGTGAAGCTGGCGCAGGATAGAGTTGGGGAGTCTGTCTGTGTGACGGGAGTTCAGCCGGCACATCTCCTCCCATAGACGTCCCGGGGTTGAGTTCCCGAGGGAGGTAGAGGATAGATCTTGCAGGAGATTGGGGCTGGTCTGTTGATAACACGTCTTCAAGGCAGCCCGCAGGGTAGCGAATTTGTTGTGATCTGGAGGGTTGGAAATGGTTTGTGAGACCCGCGTGGCCACTTCCGTGGGTAGCTCGTGAACCGGCGAGGGCTGCTTCCACATGGTCGAGCCAGTCCTCGACGTTGTGGTTGAAAATCGGCAGAGAGATCCGTTCGTCCTCCATCCTGTGTGAGTGCTTATCTCCGGGAGTCACCATTGTAGGGGTATCGAGATATTAATGTTGTCTAGCACTCAGGATGGAAGGAAACTCTAATGTGGTTTTCTTATATAATATATATAAGTTATATGATAGACAGTCTGGTGCTGGAGATGCCGTGTGGTGGGGAGCAGCTCAGTAGAAGACGTTCGGGAGTATCGTGTTGAAGGAGGTAGATGTGCAGGAGCTTCGTTAGAGAAGGTGCTGCCTGTTGCTGGCCTCCTGGTTGAATGAAATGTTAACAGCGTGGAGCTTGCTGGAGATGTTGCTTGTTCAGGAAAATGGGCAGAATGAATCTCAATGGAGAGACAGAGCTT